AACAGGTCGGGCAGCCCTTCGCTGTGCTCCTGGAAACGCTCCTATGGCTTTCACGCCAAAATATCCAGAAGCTAAGTCCAGCCCCAGAGCGCCAGGCTTTGATGAAGCGTGGGGCTCGCTCCTCGTTCACGCCAGCGGAGGCTAAGACGGCAGAGCGAGGAGACAGGGACGAGGCGGAGGAGAACCAGGCCCCGGAGTCTAAGGCCAACCGCCTGCCACGGGTTAAAACCACCGCGTCGACGTGGTAGGAGGAGAAGAGAAAAGGAAACAGGCTCTCTGTCTCTCAAAAAAAGAAGGATGTTAAATACAACTTTTAAAAGCCTGCTCCTTAAATTACTACTTCTCAAACATGATTTATGCACTTCAGCCACTTGTTCCAATGTATTTAAAGTTATAGCGTTTTGCAAAGCCCGCTGGTATCATGCACGGCAGAACGGCACACAACTTTTCGCCCTCTTCTGAAGGAGAACGCTTAAAACTAAAGACAACCTGTGATGCTCAGTCTCTCACACTCCAGCTTATCGATTTTGAACATGCCAGGTAAGCGAGTCCACAGATGATCATTTCCACAAATGATAGGGAAGGAAAAAAAAAAAAACCTTGGAGGTTTTCTCCTGCATCTGGTTCCCTTAAACTGGAATTCAAAATCTGGAGTTTAAAACTTTCTAAATAAATGGTTACTGAACTTGTATATGGCAGTCAAACAATATCCTCAGTGGAAGATAATGTCCAAGTACCACTCTCTCGACAGTACCTAAACCCACCTTTATTTTGAGCTCGGCTTCCTCTGTCTCTTTTCCCAGGATGCCACAAGTTCTGACTACAACTAGAAGAGGCTTCAAAAGAACCAAAACTCGTACCAGAGAGCCCATCAGATGTTTACTTTTCATCTTAAGAGACAGTATCCCACTGTTTTTTTTTCCTAAGAAAGACTCCCAGAATGACTAAGAGCAGACTAAAAATAAATGTATTAGTTTTAGCTTACATGAGCTCAGTTTTATTTCTAATCTTTAAGTTCAATCATTTGGTCAACCTCATCGTAACTCAGTTTTACAAGATGCTTAGGGAACAGTGTGGACCTTTGTACAATTAGGGCTTTAAGAGGTTGGTTGAGTTTTAGACATCATCTTGCGTATTCCAGGCAGCGACATTTTGAGGCAGAAACTGTACAAGGCCTACTGTAACAGGCCAAACCGAACAGGATTTTTTGAGCACTTTTGGAACAGAAGTAGTATCACAGGCTGGTCCGTATTTAACGTCAAGATGACACCAAGCTCAGAGCAGCTTTGTTAATACAACAGCTGTCATCAACTGGATTAATTTTAGTAATAGATGCCGTTTTTAAATGAGCAAAATCAGAAGTCTTACGTTGGGAAAGATTAGATTTAAGGACAATGAGAAGGACTTCACCCCTCTACTTACAGTGATCTACTCTCACAGACACCTGCTTATGGAAGTACTTATATGAACATAAGTATAAAGGGTTACAAGAGCAGGCTCTTCAGTTTAAGAGATTTGGGTTTATACAGTGACTTATGCCTTGCATTTACTACAGACTAGCAGGGGGAACCTCATACTGATTTTCATGTTCCCCTTTTGCTCCGTAACACACATTTTTGGTTTAATTCCTTAAGCAAAATTTCCACTAGATATAGAGGAAAGAAACGTGGTCTGCTTTGGACCACAGAAGTTGCCTCTTCTGTTCCAGGTTATTCTTATACTCATGTTTAGTTAGCTCACACTCTCACGTGGTTAACTATGTCGTTTATTGCAGGATTTAAACTCATAAAGCTGAGTTTTTTATTATTATTCATTATTATCTTGGAGTGTATTTTAAAGAACTCGCTCTTAGTGGGAAGGAGAAGGAAAGGCTGGGGAACAGAGAAGAGAGTTGTCCCCAAAGTTTCCTCAAAGCTTGAACATTTAAGCAAATTGTAAAATAACATGAGCTGTTGAAACAGATTTCAAGGCCCCTCAAGCTGCAAGCCAACACAGCCTAAAGTCATCGACCCCAGGAGCACATTAAGAGTGATGGTTCAACATGGATGAGTTGCTCTGAAATTTTTTTTCAAGTCTTTATGCACAACTGTGCTTTCCTTCACTGTCAAGCATATCTGTCTTTTCCCACAGCGTTTCTCCCCATCGCAGCTACAGCAAGGAAACACATATTCCAAACACACGCGAGTCTCCCTCTCTCATATATATAAAAAAACATAGAAATGGAACTGTTCAATGTACAGACACTGTAGGAAGCCACCCACAGAGCAAGGAACTGAGCTTTGCACTTGACATGAATAAGTCTGCAAGAACAGAGCAATTTCTTTTTTTTATGTACCTGAACATAAGATACAAAATGCTCTTTGTCTGGTAATTTAAAAGCGTTCAAAATCAGGCAGCAGGCATGAAATTTAGCCTGGACTCCAACTACACAGAGTTGCTGGGGGAGGATCTTCTTATTTTATTCTACATTAGTGCTTCTTTCCTGCTTCCCAGCCCAAGCCGGGCCAGCCCCCGGCCGTGGGAAGCCAGAAGATGGCGCAAGGCGTCGAGGCACGGCGGCCGGGCGGGCGCGGGAGCAGCCGAGAACAAAAGCCCCGAAACTTCTTAGCTCAGTAAGCCACAGAGCAAGTTTCCAAACCCAAAGGCAGGTTTATCTGTACAGTTTTAGCTAACTCCGCCGGACCGACCCCGGAAGGACGCCCGTCCGTCTGCGCTCTGCGGGAGCGACCGTGCTGTGCTGTCCGGCAGGGCTCTGCTCACACAGCTCCCCTGCACCCAGGCCACCATCAGCTCAGGCGACAAAACCCTCCTGAGCGATGCAACGGGGACCCAGACCCCCAACACCACCTCCCTCCTCAGGCAGGCGAGAGGAAGGAATAACCGACAATCCCTGACCCCGCAGGGCACAGCCAAACTGAACCGGGCTCCGAAAGCACAGGTTCTCCTTCCACCCAGGCCATTACTGGTCATTACCGAAGGTCAGCATGAAATAATGCAACCGCTGCCGACAACACCTTTCTTGTTCTCACTGAATACGCTCTTTAGGACCTGTAACTCTTGCAGATGGCTATTAACCCTGCTTCCATCTGCAATTAGAATAAGTGGCTTAATTACATGATGAATTGCCATGTAGACATCCAACTAATGCAATCATATTCAGGAGAAGGGTGCGGCACAGTTATTTAACTTGAAAGAAACCACCTTTAAATAGATCTGTCATACTTGGGGAGGGGAGAAACCTGTCTTCTGGAGACAGGCATCGCGACTCATGGGCCCAATCCTGCTTCTTTCTTCACACAAATAGTCCCACTGAGCTAATTTGCACTTATTTGAATAATAAATAAGGTCTGGAAGATGAAGCCTCAAATTTTAAACAGGTTATTTTTCTCACTTTTTTAGATCATTAGAACAAAAAGGTCTGCAGAAAAAGCGTTTATTCACATTTCATGTGCTTAGGCTTTGCTCAGGTAGGACACTGGGGGAGGTTAATACCGTGCTTGCAAAAAATCTGGAGAAGGTTACGTACTGGAAATCAGCTGTTCCAGCAGGATATCTTTATGCTATACAACTTTTTATTCATCTGAAAAATCTTCAAATAAAAACTTTTACAAAAATCGAGACCAAAAGTGAATCAACAGTATTCCTTCAAGCTTAATCGGAGTTAACCAATTTACAGATAAACCTAGCTTGAATCTAATTTTAAAACTTTCTTTTTTTTATAGCAGGACAGAAAAGCACTGAAATTAAAGCTTGACTTTAGATCTCAAACCGAAAAGCAGAGCTGAGTTTGTCAGCACACTCATCACTACATAAAAGACCACAACTGTCACCTAAGAAAAACAGGGGGGTTTTCAGCTGTACACAGAATCAGCCTTGGGAAAGCCAGAGGAAGGCTACACCATGGACCTAGCTCAGTATCCCTGGTTAAAATGTTGCCAGGGACTTTAAAATGCGATGAGGTCCTTAAACAACAGGAAAGGCAGGAAGCACGTGAGCATTGGCAAAGCACATTTCAAAGAAGATCTGATAGGGGAAGGGTTGGGTGCCCACCAAATTGTAGCAAGATGTTAAACAGAATCTCTCTCTCTTACCAGCTACATGATTACATTAAATGTGAGTTACAAGGACAATCACACATTTTGCCCTGATAGAACTGATTTCATACAGATTACAGTGCTACACTATCTTTAACATAAATCCAACCTTCTCAAAAAGAGCAAGATGTTACCATATCTGGAAATAAACAAGGAGGAATTGTGTATAAACACTAATAGACAGAGCAGCAATTTCAGTTAACCTCCAGACCAAGAGTAATTTATTATGCAACCACTAACTTTGGAACCAGACATGGCCATCTTTAATTTTACAAGACACTTCTGGTTTCAATTCTTTCAGATTGCCTTTATTTTGTTTCAGTTTTTCTAAAAGGAGAACTCAGGGCCATGTTTTCCTTTTTCTCCTCTGTTCCCATATGCAGATATACGTTCCTACTTTGTTTTCTGAGACACATGGCTGGACAGTGGTGGGAAATCACCTCCAGCTAAAAATAATTCAGCTCCTTTGCCAACTTTTAAAAACACTTGATTGTATACAGTACTCAGTAAGAACCTGGCAAGCGTTTCAAGTGCAGAACATAATGTGCCATACATATCCTTAGACAAGAGTTTAATCATAAAGATTTTGCTTCCTACCTATCTGCATGACTCTGCCAAAAACAGAGTTGTTGTCCACAGTGCTGCAATTCCATCTTCTATGTCTGAACTGATACTGGCACTCCTTAATGCCCGTCTTTGCACCCTCTCCAATGAACTGCATATGGTCCTGATACAATTGGCAGAGTTTCTTCTGTCCTTGGGAAAGTCCTGCTAGCTGGCTACATAGTGGCTGGGCTCCTATTATATATACCTCTGACATCTGCACAGGGTTCATGGGGTTCATAGGATTCATCCCTAAAGACCTGCAGAAAGACAGATTTGGATTAATAAACAGAAGACTTAAAAAAAAAAAATTAGTCTATAAATCCCAAACAGAACTGTATTTCATATGCGAGCATTGAGCCTATGACTCCTATTTTTGCCATCAGGTGAGGAAAAAAAACACCACACACACAAATATGAAACTTTTGTTTTAGAAACAGCACAGAACATCAGTTGTTAGCTCCCATCCATGTGGTCGTCACCATACGTTACTGGCTGAAGACACAGACAATGGATAAGACTTGGAAGAATCGTATCTGGGCAATCTTTCACCAGCTTTAATGGACACAGTAAAAAATAACAGAAGCCCCAAACAACTGCAAGGCCAGAGAAATACATAAAGTAAAAAGAAAAAGAGCCCCCCAAACCCACTATATTTTAACACACATTATAGATTTAAGTGTGGATTTTCAATCTGTTCTACCATAAGCAAGTATGGAAATCTTTAACATGCCAGAAGTTAGAAACTACTACAGACTACTTCTAGCTTCTTCTGACTGACACAGGAAAAGAGAGGTGAGTATATTCACTATAAACAAAATTAACTTTGTTTCTTAATTCTTAAAGTGCTCTGCACGTTATACATTTTAATTAAAAAATGGCCATTAATCTGGAAATGATCAACTGAAACAGCAGAGAAACACCCATTTCAAAACCTCCCCACATTGTTCACCATACAAAAACAGATGATTTGCCAAAGTAGAAAAATAAATGTACTTCTTTGTAACAAAATATATGTATAAACATTTAAGTTGAGGAAAAGTTCAAACCTAAGTTTTAATCTAGTAGACATTACTGCTCGTAACTCCGTGTTTCCTCTTACAGACACTAAATTTCCAACCTAAGGGGGTTTAAGCGACTCTCTCAGAAGAGATGCAACTCCACTAGTTTAAGGATGATCAAATCTATAGAGAATCTACTTATAAAGTAGTCTAGAAACTGAGGTTTACAATGAGATGCTACACATCTACACTTATTCCAGAAACACATTCATTTTCATACCCGACATTGCTCTCCTGCAGTCTCGTTCATGCAGTACTTCCTCAGAAACAGATAAAGCACATAAGAAGTAAACAGGCATTTCACCAGGCAAAACTTGACACCCCCTTTTAAAATCAAATCAATATAAGATGCTTACCACCAAGAGCTGGCTTCTATTACAACCTGGGTGAAAGAGGAGAAAATGGCCAGAGCCACTACGAGGTACTGAGAAGCCATTGTACTGCCAACTGTCCCCAAAGCACCTCCTTGCATTAATATTGCCGTGGATTTCTGGAGGGGGGGGGAGAAAAAGGAGCAGATTGTTTATTGCTTCTCAGACCATTTTCGAGCATTCAAGTTTAAACAACGGAAGTATCCGGGCCCCTTTTAACTTGACTCCGACTCGCCTGCCCTTCTCCCCGCCGA